ACAGAAGACGATGAAGAGTCACTGAGCTCCTCAGGAGTGCTAGAATATCTGATACACGAAAGGAGGCGCTGACCAGGGAAGTGGAAACTATCGAACTTAAGCTAAATGACTCTTACAGGAACCAGGAGAGGCAGGAGCAGCTTAAAGCTATTAGTGAAATTGAAAGAAATCCAAAATATTTCTTTTCATATGCCAAAAACAAGGCAAATACCACATCTAGTATCGGGCCCTTACTCAGACAGGATGGGACTTACACAGATGACAACAAGGAAAATGAGTGAAATATTGAAATCCCAGTACGACTCTGTTTAGTGAACCACTAATCGGTCTGAGGATCGACGACCCAAATGATTTCTCATGAATGAGCCTCAAAAACTCCATAAATGTATGCCAGATTTCCGACATTACCCTAACTCCGATAGATTTTCGAAAAAGTCATTGACAACATGCCTATGCACTCAGCCCCGGGCCCAGACTCGTGGAACTCTGTTTTCATTAAGAACTGCAAGAAACCCCTCTCTCGCGTGCCCTAAGTACACTATGGAGGAGGAGCTTGGACATGGGTGAAATTCCACAGTCACTTAAAACAACGGATATAGCCCCACTCAATAAAGGTGGCAGCAAAGCATTAGCTAAGAACTATAGACCAATAGCTCTGACGTCCCACATCATAAAAATCTTTGAAAGAGTGCTAAAAAAGCAGGATTGCAAATCACCTGGATTCCCAAAATCTGCACAATCCAGGGCAACATGGGTTCAGGGCAGGTCGCTCCTGCCTCTCACAACTACTGGATCACTATGACATGGCCTTGGATGCACTGGAAGAAAATCAGAATGCAGATGTAATATACACAGACTTTGCAAAAGCATTTGCCCAAATGCGATCATGGCGAAATTTAGCCCATAAAATACGTGCTAAAGGAATACATGGGAAAGTGGGGAGATGGATCTTCAACTTCTAACAAATCGAACACAAAGAGTAGTGGTCAACAGAGTTAAATCGGAGGCTGCCATAGTGAAGAGCTCTGTTCCACAAGGCACAGTACTCGCCCCCATCTTATCCTTATCCTCATATAAAGCAAACAGAGATATACACCACAGCACCGTAACATCTTTGCGGATGATACTAGGATCTGTCATGAGGCTGTCATCTGCTGAGACGCGGTAACCTCCAAGAGATATAAACAAAGTTTTCCAGTGGGCAACGGTAAACAATATGATGTTCAATGAGGACAAATTCCAACTACTCCGTTATGGAAAACTGGAGAAGATAATAACTAAACAGAGTATACTACTGACTCCGGCCATACAATAGAGCGGAAAAATAATGTAAGGGACCTGGGAGTAGTAATGTCTGAGGATCTCACTTTCAAGGATCACAACAGTGCCACGATCGCACGTGCAAAGAAAATGATAGGATGGATAATGAGAACTTTCAAAACGAGAGATGCCAAGCCCATGATGATCCTTTTCAAATCACTTGTTCTCTCTAGGCTGGAATACTGCTGTACATTAACATCTCCATTCAAAGCAGGTGAAATCGCAGATCTAGAGAGTGTACAGAGATCCTTTACTGCACGTATAAGTTCTGTCAAGCACCTTAACTACTGGGAACGCTTGGAAGCACTTGACTTGTACTCGTTGGAACGCAGGAGGGAGAGATATATCATAATCTACACTTGGAAAATCTTGGAAGGAATGGTCCCAAATCTGCACACAGAAATCACTCCCTACGAAAGTAAAAGACTGGGCAGGCGATGCAAAATGCCCCCAATAAAAAGTAGGGGGCCATTGGTACACTAAGAGAAAACACCATAAGTGTCCGGGGCCCAAAACTGTTCAACAGCCTCCCATCAAGCATTAGGGGAATTGCCAATAAACCCCTGGCTGCCTTCAAAAGAGAGCTGGACAGATACCTAAAGTCAGTGCCGGATCAGCCGGGCTGTGGCTCGTACGTTGGACTGCGTGCGGCCAGCAGTAACAGCCTTGTTGATCAGGCCCTGATCCATCGGGAGGCCTGGTCATGGACCGGGCCGCGGGGGCGTTGATCCCCGGAATAACCTCCAGGTAACACTGCAGTAAGGAAAATCTTAGTCATTGTACTGGTGGTAGTTCCATTATACGTATCAGTGATTTTTCCCAGGCAATTAACAATATTGTCAAGTCAATGCCAGTTGCAAATCACTGTTGAAGTTACAAAACATTTTTATTTTCCTCAACACCTAATTTCGCTCTTTCAAGCGTTCAACGCTTTTAAATGTTAATTTCAATGATACCTTCGTATCAAGCATCATTGTTGGTGATAAAATTAACCACTTAAGATGCATTAGATTTAACGTTTAATGACCAAGCGATGGCTGGAATCCCGTAAGTTTTATAACACGTTTACGAGTTTCGAAACATAGATCAAAATGTTCCAAGCAAACAAAACTCGGGCTGGGTTACTTTAATGTAAATTACCTTTAATTAATTTTACGTTTATATTCCAATAACCAGATTACTTAAACGGTAGAGGTAACGTCTGGCAGTCGCTTAATTCTTGGGAAATCACACATTCGTTCTGCTTGGTAAGATGGGCTGTGATATGGGTCGACGATGGACAAGATCAAGGGGGTTTAGTCATGTATTTGTGGTTGTTTGGCGGCGGTAACGTGATGGTTGTTCCTTTACGTGGAAATCGGAAACAGTCAAATTCATTATTAAGCAGATACACAAGAAAATCCAAGCAAAGATAACATTTTAGATACGATTTGCTGGACACTTAAGTCATTGTAGAGGATTAAAGAATTCCCATAAATTGATTTTTCGAGTAATGTTTCGAGTTAATGTACAACGGTTGCGTGATGAGCACATGCGTGAATAAACTATAAATAATGAAGATTTAACCCAGATAAGGAAAGCCAATTAGAATTTATTCCATTGGTGTACTCTTAGGAAAACGTGGATACAGTGTATGTTCAATGAATAATCATACAGGGTAATACATATTTCAAGACAAAACAGTATATGTAAAGCCGAAATTATTACAAATTCAGATCTGGGATATTTTTTTGTACACGTTTATTACTATTGCAACAGTGCTGCATTACTATATTTCAACTCATTTTGTAGCGTGTTATTACTGACCTCGACATAATGCAATGTACACAAAAGCAGTCAGACCAAGTCTTCCTCACGGCATCATACATAAAAGTACAAACCAAATGACATTCCTCAGTGTTGCCTGCACACAAAAAAGCACAAGACTTCTTCCTCTAGCTAGAGATTTAGACAGATGGAACAGAATAGTACAACCACCTTTCACATTATAAGGTAAAACTTGTACCTTTTAAAAACCACTAGACACTGCTGCATATACGGTTCATTATATAATCATGGGGAGCGCTAAACCCGTAGGATTATACGGCGCATGTGGGGAGGGGGGGGAGGATGGAAGGTGTTCAGGCTCACTTCAGGAAACCGGAGCACAGATTCAGTTCCCTAAATCAAGAGCCCCTCACCAGCGTCCAGGAACCTCTCTTGAGGGGCGGTTCAATATAACAGCCTAATACATGTTTTCAAGAACCATTTACATACATCAGTGCAATTCCCTTAAAGGATTTAATAGTACGATGGCTTTTATCATATTTGCCGATGAAGATAAAATATTTTCAGCATTCTGCATAGGCTGCGTAATTAATGATAAACTATAAATTAATTATAGGCTGTGTAATTAATGATAAATCTGAAGTGCTGAACCCGTATGGCCATCCAGCGCAAGTCAGCTATCCTCCTGACTTGCAGGTATCAGTAACTGCGCCACTAAGTCACTATACTGGAGGGAACACTGGCAGGTATTGTGGCAGTAACTACTGCCTTCAACTGGAATACAATGCAAACCTATAATTTCTTAGTACTGTATAATATCACAATCAGTCCTCCCTGCATATTAAATCGTCCCATCCGCTAACCCCTGCTTTAACCCAGCCACCCCCTCCCCATCTGCTGCACGTTTAACCCAGCCACCCCCTCCCCATCTGCTGCACGTTTAACCCAGCCACCCCCTCCCCATCTGCTACACGTTTAACCCAGCCACCCCCTCCCCATCTGCTGCACATTTAACCCAGCCACCCCCTCCCCATCTGCTGCACGTTTAACCCAGCCACCCCTCCCCATCTGCTGCACGTTTAACCGAGCCACCCCCTCCCCATCTGCTGCACATTTAACCAGCCACCCCCTCCCCATCTGCGCACGTTTAAACCCAGCCAACCACCCCCTCCCCATCTGCTGACGTTTAACCCAGCCACCCCCTCCCCATCTGCTGCACGTTTAACCCAGTCACTCCCCATCTGCTGCACGTTTAACCCAGTCACCCCCTCCCCATCTGCTGCACGTTTAACCCAGCCACTCCACCTTCCCTGCACGTACACCTCAACCACTCCATCCGCTCCCACCCCTCACTTTACCCTAGTCACACTCCCCAATCACCTGCACTTCCACAGCCCGGCCACTTCACCCTATCTCCCTCACGATTACCCACTACCCATTTCCCCGCACGTTGAACTTAGCCATTCCTTTGTCCCCCTACGTTTAAATTAACAAGGCCACTTCCTCACCCCCCCCCCTCCGCACGTTTTAACTCAGCCACTCCATCCCCCACCGCGTTTATACCGGCTATCCAGCAAAGCCCGAGAGATTCATAGCACCCGGGGAATAGGAAGTAATTAGCTTTTAAGCAAAGAAAAGGCCATTTCCAGTTCCTTTGAGCAAGTACTCTTCATCCTTGAAGATTTAACTAGGTCATGAACTACCTCCCCTTCAAAAAATTGCTTCCCAGAACTCGTGTACCAATTCACTGGCACAAAATTGGAAAACCGCCGATGGTTTTAACAAAAGGAGCCGGGCAGTGGCCTCTCGTCAATAAACGGCCGGCACAGTGCCCGATATTACCCGGCCGGTAGTATTATTAGACCTCCCCAGTGGTCGGTCTAGGACAGTGACACCGATGTAAGTGTACTCACATGTCCGCTTCTGTGTCAGTACCGTGGGTACAGCCACCCTGGCCTGCCTGGGCACCGCTGCAAGGGCAGCCTTGGCGATGTTAGCAAGTGTAGAGGTCATGATGGAAGATGTAGTTAAAAAGGTAAAACCCCCGGGGAGTGTTGCCGTCGCCTTCACCAACCTCGCACAACCAGAGCAACACAGCCTCTGCCACCCACCACCAGCACCCAGCCGGCCACCCAACAACCAACACCTTTACACTTAACTCACAAATCACGCTAATAAAACCTTTTATAATCAATATCCTATCACTACAACGCAAAATGTGCTTTTATTTTATATATAAAAAGGCTTATTTGTATGAAATGTTAGTGTTAAGGGTGTTATATTAGCTGTATAGATTTGAAAAGTGTTGTGGGTGCGCGGTGTGGCTGCGCTTGAGCGCAGCAGCAGACACTGGCCAGCACTTGGCCGGCCTGGGGTCGCAGCCATTCTACACACCTTTTCTCCTTATTTTCTCCCTGTCGTTGCTGCTTCCCAACTCGACGGTGAGTGTGAAAGCATGTAGGAGTGGTGTGCGCTGCGGTGTGTGCTTGTAGGTGCTGGCTACGCAGGTGTGAGGGAATAATAACATTTGGAAGATGAGACCCGGGGCGACAGCTGAAGTGATGGATACGAACTGTATTTAGGTTAAATGTACAGATGTTTCTCACACGAGGTCCTCACCCTAGAAAGGGCCAAGTTACCTGAGGAGGTTTCAGTGGTGTTTGTGCGGTAGTGATTGTGGCAGTGAGGGTGAAGTGGTGGGAACGGTAGGGCCGGCCGGTTAGGTAGACACAACTGGGACTACCGTCACTTGGACGGTAAGTTTATTTAGGCATAAGTGCAGTTGTCATACATGGTGTAAATTACCTAGGATAACCCCTAGGAAGTCAGCGGCTTATTTTCATGTTGGATAGTGCCATCACAGCTGGTCAGTGCCATCACAGCTGGTCAGTGCCATCAGTTGGTCAGTGCCATCACAGTTGGTCAGTGTCATTATTGTTTTCCAGTACTATCGCTGTTGGACAGTACCATCACTGTTGGCCAATACTATCGCTGTTGGACAGTACCATCACTGTTGGCCAATACTATCCCTGTTGGACAGTTTCATCACTTGGCTGATACCATCACTGCTGGACAGTGCCATCATTGTTGGCCAGTACTATTGCTATTGGACAGTACCATCACTGTTGGCCAGTACTATCGCTGTTGGACAGTGCCATCACTTGCCTGGTACCATCACTGCTGGACAATGCCATCATTGCTGGCTAGTACTATTGCTATTGGCTAGTGCCACCACCTAGCCAGTGCCATCACTTGGCCAGTGTCAACACTATTGGAGAGTGCCATCACTATTGGAGAGTGCCATCACTATTGGAGAGTGCCATCACTATTGGAGAGTGCCATCACTATTGGAGAGTGCCATCTCTATTGGAGAGTGCTATCACTATTAGTGCCATCACTATTGGACAGTACTGTCGCTGTTGAATAGTGCCATCACTTAACCAGTATTATCATTTGGCCGGTACCGTCATTGCTGGCCAGTTTCATCATCATTGGCAAGTGTCATTAGTGTTACCATGGCGATGCCATGAGAACTGTAAGGGGTTGTAGTGATGCTGAAGGAGTAAATGTATAATAAAACACAGGGGTTTAAGAATTGTGTAGTTTAGAATAAAATCTCAGTGTGAGAAGTGGGTAATGTGAAGTCAAAGCCATATTTATCTTATTTTATAATTGCGTAATTGTAATGTCCGCCGATGAGAGATTTTTTTTTACCAAACTCTTAACTCGTTCCGCATATGCACTAACTAATATTGGAGGCAGGCTTACCTCAGAACTTTTCGTTGCGTAGTTGGCGAGTGGGTTCAAAACTGGGGCCGAGTACTCAAGGATTGGCCTACGTATTTGATGCAAAACTATTTAAAGTATTACGTTTGATACATGTTTCTCTGATTTCAGGTGAGACAGTCATAAATTCCACTCTTAAGGTTTTTCTCGGTTAGTTTCCATATGCTACTGTTCCACGCAGTATATAACCAAGTCTCTTCCCCAAAGTGTAACTAAATTTCGCTCGAAATTGATGGACTTGAACGCTTTATTTTAAGTAACCATTAGTTCCTTCAGTTGTGCTGGTGTTACAGGTTTTCCTGTAATATCCTACTATTCTTTTGGTACTCCCTTGATAGTTTTGGCTCTGATTACAAACATTTATATTTACTTATCGTTATCGCTTGGTAGGTCATTCACATGTACTTGGAACTGTTTGGGGTGTATGACCGACCCTTGGGAGATTCTACTATTTACATATTGTATTTGCGGGTTCACCCTGACATTTAATATCGCAATGACTGCTGTCTTTTTAAGGATATGACTTTCGTGGATAACGGAATAAGTACCGACAGATTACGTAATGACGTCAACATACAATTCGGAAAATGTCATTTGTTCAGAAAATTAACTATTGCGGATTCAAGTTTGAAATTAAAGCATTTTCGAAATCATTGTTATTGGCTTCCGAAATCGTAATAACACGATTGCAGATGATTCGCTGAAAGAACAGGTTTTGAACCCATGACAAGCCCCCCCCCCCCCCGAAAAAAGCAGCTACTGTGAGATATCGGCTCTATTTTAGAATTGCTTATAGGTTCGATCTTGTAAGTTCTGTAAGCCATTTTATTCACGAAATTGAAAAAGTTGTTTGATAATTATGGTTATTTCTATGAACGAAGGCTTCAATAACACTCATGTTCAACTGTCAGTAAGTTAAATGTGTAGATTTATAAACCTTGGGTAATAATACGAAAGTCTTTCTACTCTGTATGTTTGAATGTCAAGGTCCAGCCCGAAACGTTTCTAATAAAGTATAGTGTTTGCACTGTCTTTCATAACAAATGTGTAGATATACACAGCATACAAATATTGTTTACAGTGGTTTTGAGGGTACACACATGTTGATGGGCACATAAAAACTGCAATGTAGATTTAACCTAGGATATCCCACTAAAGTAAAACGATTTTTCTTATTTCCATTGGTGTCCTTAAAGATGGTAGCAACCTCCAAAAGTGCCCTGAGCCTTACCATAATTTCCCCAGTATATACAAATAATGGCAAAATAAGCTAACTGATGTCCTATTTAAGCTACTATTAGTGCCATTCTTGTACAGTATATGAATATGATCGTTAAATTTCTCCAAATTTTATTGCATTATACCATTATAATAAGCCCAACATCTGCGCTGGGTTGAACACATTTGAAAACTTGACCGAAGGTAGTTTACTCATGTTACTGTGTGATGAATGGTTGAAGAATTGTGGTCATCCAAAAATTGCGTAATTGTATCTAAACTTATGCAAGGAACCTAGGATAGGTTTCCGGGCGGGCGAGATGTATGGGCAACTCTCTCTGATAGCAGGTTCTATCCCCGTCCGTGGTATGGTTGCTTTTAACTCCACTTAACCCTGCTGCTCTTTTTCAGTTAACAGTAAGTAACTAAGAATAACAAAAAAGACACAATACCGTGACTGGAACGATACACAAATAACCCGCACATAAAAGAGAGAAGCTGACTGTTGAGAGTCGCATTCGTGTTATTATAACAGTAGATAGTCCAGGATTCATATCTGGAAAGATAATAATTGGTAGGAGACTTGGACCTGCCTCGCATGGGCCAGTAGGCCTGCTGCAGTGTTCCTTCTTTCTTATGTTCTTATAACATTAAGCAGAACAACGCTAAAACATTTTAAAGTTTAGAAAGTTAATAAGACTACAGAATGGAAATAAATGGTATAAAATACCGACACAATGGAAATATAAACACAAATGCAGTATAATGTGATCCTTTATTGACAACGTTTCACCCACACAGTGGGCTTTTTCAAGTCACACACGGATCTACCTGGGGTTGGAAGGTACGAGAGTATTTATAGTCATGTTCAGAATGTTGAGATCAGGTGGAGAATGCTGCATCTGATGATCTATAACCCCACCAGGTAGATCATCAGATGCAGCATTCTCCACCTGATCTCAACATTCTGAACATGACTATAAATACTCTCGTACCTTCCAACCCCAGGTAGATCCGTGTGTGACTTGAAAAAGCCCACTGTGTGGGTGAAACGTTGTCAATAAAGGGATCACATTATACTGCATTTGTGTTTATATTTCCAAGACTACAGAATAATTGTGGTCAGTGTTTTTACACAATTTTCTATAAGTTGCTTATTTCTGTATAAATTTTAACTATTTACTTGAAAGATGTAATGCGAGCGGTAAGATATTTAAGTAAGGGTGGATTATACCTGAAGTTTTGTATGGATGATTACGAAGCTGTATAACAAGCAGGTTTAGAGTTTAATAATAACACCTTAACTACTGGGAGCGCCTGGAAGCACTTGACTTGTACTCACTAGAGCGCAGGCGAGAGAGATATATCGTAATCTACACCTGGAAGATTCTGGAAGGACTGGTCCCTAATATGCACACAGCAATCACTCCATACGAAAGTAAAAGACGTGGCAGGCGATGCAACATACCCCCAGTGAAAAGTAGGGGCGTCACTGGTACACTAAGAGAAAACACAATAAGTGTCCGGAGCCCAAGACTGTTCAACAGCCTCCCACCAGCAATAAGGGGCATTACGGGAAGACCCCTGGTTGTCTTCAAGAGGGAGCTGGACAGATACCTAAAGACGGTGCCGGATCAGCCGGGCTGTGGTTCGTACGTTGGATTACGTGCGGCCAGCAGTAACAGCCTCGTTGATCAGGCCCTGATCCACGGGGAGGCCTGGTCGTGGACCGGGCCGCGGGGACGTTGATCCCCGGAATGCCCTCCAGGTAGGTAACTGGTTGAAGATTGTGATTATTGATCCAGTCGCAGATACTATATCTGCTTGGGTAAAGCGAGAGGGTGGAGGTCTTGGTGTTGCGTAATGGCTGCCGGCGTCAGCTGATGTACCATTGTGACGTCACCCACTGGCTCACAGGGTACTTATTTCTGCTAGACTTCGTATTTTCCAAATCAAGGAGCCCAGCTGTTAGGTGTGTTCCCATACTTGAGCCATAGGCTTGTAGTTGGAGGGTAGTGTTAGGGAAGATAAGGTTACGTGAAAAGAGACAGGAATTGATAAACGGATTGAAATAGACTGCTGGAAATGCAGGGACGGGAAAATGGAAACAAAAAACACGGAAGAGTTGCATGTATCTTAGGAAATGTCTTTTTTCGGCTAGTGAAGAAGTGAAATTGGATGTGGAAATGGAGGAGTCCCGCTAAACGATTTTAAGTGTAGGTATAATCCGGCTCAAATAGTCAGAATCCCGCAGTACTATGGGGCCAGGAGCCCAAACTACTGCCAGCAAATGTAAGCACACCTGCACACAACACTTGACATCTACAGGTCACAGTAACCCAAGTTAAGTCAGTATTTATTTAAAAATTAGTGTATAAAATAAATCCGAAAGTTACCTGGAGGTTACTCCGGGGATCAACGCCCCCGCGGCCCGGTCCATGACCAGGCCTCCCGATGGATCAGGGCCTGATCAACCAGGCTGTTACTGCTGGCGCACGCAGTCCAACGTACGAGCCACAGCCCGGCTGATCTGGCACTGACTTTAGCTATCTGTCCAGCTCTCTGTTGAAGGCAGCCAGGGGTTTATTGGCAATTCCCCTAATGCTTGATGGGAGGCTGTTGAACAGTCTTGGGCCCCGGACACTTATGGTGTTTTCCCTTAGTGTACCAATGGCGCCCCTACTTTTAATTGGGAGCATTTTGCATCGCCTGCTCAGTCTTTTACTTTCGTAGGGAGTGATTTCTGTGTGCAGATTTGGGACCATTCCTTCCAAGATTTTCCAAGTGTAGATTATGATATATCTCTCCCTCCTGCGTTCCAACGAGTACAAGTCAAGTGCTTCCAAGCGTTCCCAGTAGTTAAGGTGCTTGACAGAACTTATACGTGCAGTAAAGGATCTCTGTACACTCTCTAGATCTGCGATTTCCGTAGCATCCACAGCATTTTGGGCAAAATTTAATCTTACATATTTTGTCCCCCCTCCAGGAAGGTTCCTTGATGCTGGTGAGGGGCTCTTGATCTAGGGAACTAGATCTGTGCTTCAGTTCCCTGAATTAAACCTGAATACCTTCCATCCTCCCCACAGGTGCTGTATAATCCTACTGGTTTAGCACTTCCCCCTTGATTGTAATAATAATAATAATCATACATATTTTATTTAAGGAACTAATACACAGTTTCAAAAAGATAAAAGTAGTTCACGATTTAAAAAAAAAAGTATAATTGTGTAGATATCAAAGGATGAGTAGTGCTAGTCTATAATATTGTTATACAATAAAATGACAATTAATTGAAGATTGTTTAAACAGACATGGCTATAAGGAGTTTAGGACAAGATAAAATTAGTTGTAAAATAGCTGTTGGGTATATGACAGTGTAAATAAGACATGCGTAACATTAGAACGTTTACGAAATTGTTTGATCACTAGGAACTTTGATCATTGAATTGATACAACACTGAGCGAAACGTTTCCTAATACAATGTTACAAGTCTTATTAGATATTCCTGTGGGAGGTGTCTTGAATTTGTTGGTTGAATTTTATGTTTTTTACCTCCAAGATTTTCTTTGAGAATGACTTTTAAAATCGACTTCAAATATTCAGCACTGGTGAATCCTACTTCGGAGGTCAGGGTTAATTTTTTTTATACTAGAATGTGTGAATGTCTCATCAGCTTTAAACCTTCAACGCCTATGTATCCGACTCGGAAGCTTTTTGTATTATTAGACTGTGTAGGTACTTGTGAGTTAGCTTGTACGTTAGAAACTTAAGCCGCACTCTGTACTATTCCTTTTGTGTGCATTGCTGTAAGAGGGGACTGAGCTTATGGAATACTGGTGTACCTTTCTGGGATCACGCAGCCACTGTAACACAATTAGTTAATCTACAGCTCCATTTTGTTTGTATGCGTCTCACAATTCCTGTTCACAACCTGGTGATAATTATAGCTCAGCTTGTCATACAAGATGTAATTGCACTTGCGTAATGTACGTGTATTGTTTATTGTGTAACAGGTGTGTGAGGGAGCCTACACATGCTACCTACCAGTCTGCAGTTAAAGTAGAACTGATATTGATTTTTAGTAATATGAGGTGTTTTACGTTATAAGTGTTTCTTGATTGTTATATCTAATTATAGGCAATGCATGGTACTGCATTTTGATTCATTATCAGTTGGAACGTCATAAATCCACATGTTGGCAGCGTTCCAGCTCACCAAAGATTTTCTACTCACCAGCTGGTATTGCCAAGTTGAACAGGTTCACTGGTATTGTTTTTATAATCCATACTTTCTTCTAAATTTATTCATTATTTGTTTATTTATACATTACGAGAGCGAGATGTAGGACTGGTGCGAATTAATGGTACTTGTTAGTCGCTGGAACGCATAAGCGGGGTGGATCAAGCTGGCCGTCAATTAGTTTACTCAACTGTGTGACTTGACCCTTAAATTCTGTTATTTAGAGTGGGTTCCCATCTACTGGTTTAATATTGAGCTAGCATTACAATATGGTGTAGTAATGACAAGAACGGATTAGTGCGTGACGCACAGGGGATGGAATCAAACCGGTATGTAGGACAAGTTGTTTCCTGAAGCGGTCTTGTCCCATAGTGAATGACCCGCACTTATTATGTTGAATACAAAAGGATGCGCTAAGCGAACAACTAGGACTGATTTACAGCGCTTTGCAGAAGGCAGGACAAGAAGCGAGGGACATCAGGCTGGGGAACGGGACGGTGCACTGACTTTAGTTACCTGACAGAGGCCTTCCACTGGCCTACCCCTCCACCCCTTTAAAAATTAAGGTTATAATTATAACCACAGTAATATGTAGGTGGTGTACACCCATATTGTATGTAGTAACGACACAATAGCTAGTATATGGTAAGGCAGAGAGCAAAGGAGTTTAGTCTACACCGCTCCCTCAAGGGAAGTTCCTTGATGCAAGCCTGAATGCCTTGTATTCTCCCCAGGCTCTGTATGACCTATATGGGTTAATTTTGGCCTCAGGATGCGACCCACACCAGTCGGCTAACACCCAGGTACCAGTTTACTGCTAGGTGAGCAGAGACAGCATGTATCTTAAAGAAAACCCTCCCTTATGTTTCCACCCGTACCGGGATCGGACCACGGACCTCAGTGTGCGAGCTGAGTGCCCTAGCAACCGAGCTATGGGACGCCATGAGCACAATAAATTATTGTACACCGATCACTCAGGGGAAGTTTTTTTTATATTTACCTGGAGAGGGTTTCGGGGGTCAACGCCCCCGCGGCTCGGTCTGAGACCAGGCTTCACGGTGGATCAGGGTCTGATCAACCAGGCTGTTACTACTGTCCGCACGCAAGCTGACGTTCGAACCACAGCCCGGTCTTGGACCCCGGACACTTATTGTGTTGTCTCATTGTACTCGTGGCACCCCTGATTTTCATTGGGGAAATGTTGCATCTCCTGCCGAGTCTTTTGCTTTCATAGGGAGTGATTTTCGTGTGCAGGTTTGGTACCAATCCCTCCAGAACCTTCCAAGTGTATATTATCATGTATCTCTCTCGCCTGCATTCCAGGGACTACAGATCAAGGTCCTTCAACCGTTCCAAGTAATTTAGGTGCCTTATCGTCCTTATATATGCCGTGAAAGTTCTTTGTACGCTCTCCATTTTTTATTATAATAATAATGTACGCTCTCCAGGTCTGTAATGTCGCCAGCCTTAAGTATTCGATGGAGAGAGTTGGTATGAAATACTGGCATGATGGAAAATGATACTGAAATGCATTGTAAAGGTATCCTTCATTGACCTTTTGCCCAGGCAGTGGGCTTTTTCCATTTTAGGATTTATTGTTTAAATAAAAGCTTCCATTTATAAATAGGCATCATACATCCTTGCTTAAGACTCAAACTGGAAACGACAGTACAGTCCTATTACCTACATAACCTTATTTGGAGTCTCTCCTTATAAATGCATTAAATATTTTAACCATTTAGTTCAAACGTGTGCAATGCTGTACATGGACAAGATGCATAAATTCTTTATCCAGCCAATCATATACCTTTTATTAGTTCATAAATATTGTACAACAAAGAGCCTCCTTTGTGTATCCAAATACTGTACTGCTTGTCTTTTTTTTACTGAATTATGAAAATTGGATACATTACAGTACATACCAGTGTTGTCTTGTTAACAAAAGGCTTGAAAATAAGGCTTTATAGTTTAATATTGTCTACTTATCTTTATTCAGTATTCATATTGTGTAACTTAAGTAATGATAATGCTGGATCATATATATTAAAAGGAATTAGGTATTTATTTATTTTGCAATGTATAATCAAATATTTTTTTTCAGAGATGGCGTCAGTCCTACGCTTCTCGTTGACGACGCTTGAAGTAGCAGGGAGTGGGCATAGACCTCTCATCAGCTCTATTAGAGGCCTGAGAACACATGCACGTCTCCATGAAGCTGCTAAACCTGCCGAAGCAATCCCTGGTATTCCATACAAGAACATGACCATCGGTGTACCTAAAGAAATATGGCAAAATGAGAAAAGGTGAGTGAAGAGAGTATAATATGATGCCTTGGGTTGTTAATGTATGGGACAACATGTAACAGGTGTGGAGGATTGCAGGAAATGTGTGTGTCTGTGTGTGTTGTAATATGAGTTGTTCAAAATGTTTTAGACTTTAGTTCTTATGTGGCTATGGGTAGAAAGGGTTCAAAATAGATGGGTGGATGTATTATGTAAGAGAAAAATGTAGAGGTCATTTACTGCCTAAACATTTAAAAATCTGGGAATGCCTCAAGACACTTAGAGTGTACTTTCAAATGAGGGAGAGAGAGACCTGATAATGTGTGTGTGTGTGTATCAATCTATCTTTCAACATACTACTGGCCATATCCCACCGAGGCAGGTGGGATATGGCCCACTTGCCTCGGTAATGTATACAAGAGAAGGGGTTACTAGCCCCTTGCTCCCGGCATTTTAGTTGTCTCTTATGACATGCATGGCTTCAAAGGAAGAACTCTGTTTCACTTCCCCATGAAGATAGGAAATAAAACAAGAACAAGACCTAGTAAAAAAATAGAAGAAAACTCGGGTGTGTGTATATATATATGCTTGTGCATGCATGTGTAGTGTGACCTAAGTGTAAGTAGAAGCAGCAAGATGTACCTGAAATCTCACATGTTTATGAGACAGAAAAAATGATACCAGTAATCCTACCATCATGTAAAACAATTACAGGCTTTCGTTTTACGCTCACTTGGCAGGACGGTAATACCTCCCTAGGTGGTTGCTGTCTAGCAAACAACTACCTCGAATTTTGGCCATAATTCGTTCCAGAAGGCTGTTCGAGTGCTGTTACCGAACGAATTTGTTCCCATGAGGAATAATGTAAATTAGATTAGTCCATTTCAGACCCCCAAAAATACACTTAGAAAAGCACTTAAAAAATACACTTACATAATTGTATGAGTTGGGAGCTGTTCGAAATTCGAGGTACCACTGTGCATGCATACATGCATGCATACATGCATAAATACATACATACATAAATACATACATACATAAATACATACATACATAAATACAACATACATAATACATACATACATAAATACATACATACATAAATACATACATACATAAATACATACATACATAAATACATACATACATAAATACATACATACATAAATACATACATACTAAATAAATACATAATACATACATAATAATACATACATACATAAATACATACATACATAAATACATACATACATAAATACATACATACATAAATACATACATACATAAATACATACATACATAAATACATACATACATAAATACATACATACATAAATACATACATACATAAATACATACATACATAAATACATACATACATAAATACATACATAAATACATACATACATAAATACATACATATATACATACATACATATATACATACATAAATACATGTAAATACATACATAAATACATACATACATACATGCACACACACATGCACACACACATAGGGGGGACATGATAACGACATACAAAATACTGAGAGGAATTGACAAGGTGGACAAAGACAGGATGTTCCAGAGATTGGACACAGTAACAAGGGGACACAGTTGGAAGCTGAAGACACAGATGAATCACAGGGATGTTAGGAAGTATTTCTTCAGCCACAGAGTAGTCAGTAAGTGGAATAGTTTGGGAAGCGATGTAGTGGAGGCAGGATCCATACATAGCTTTAAGCAGAGGTATGATAAAGCTCACGGCTCAGGGAGAGTGACCTAGTAGCGATCAGTGAAGAGGCGGGGCCAGGAGCTCGGACTCGACCCCCGCAACCTCAACTAGGTGAGTACAACTAGGTGAGTACACACACATGCACACACACACATGCACACACACATGCACACACACATGCACACACACATGCACACACACACATGCACACACATGTCCCAAGGTGATAATTGCAGTGATGTATAACCCACCACAGAACAGCAGGAGGCCAAGGCAAGAGTATGACGAGAGCAATAGAGCGATGGTTGACACACTGGCTGCAGTGGCCAGAAGAGCTCATACATGCAGGGCAAAGCTCCTGATCATGGGCAACTTTAACCACAAGGAGATCGAATGGGAGAACTTGGAGCCACATGGGGGCCAAGATACATGGAGGGCTAAGATGATGGAGGTGGTACTGGAAAACTTCATGTACCAACACGTAAGGGACACTACAAGAGAGAGAGGAGAGGATGAACCAGCAAGACTGGACTTAGTATTCACCTTGAGTAGTGCAGATATTGAGGACATCACATATGAAAGACCCCTTGGGGCCAGCGATCATGTGGTTTTGAGCTTCGAATACACAGTAGAGCTACAAGTGGAGGGGGAAGCAGGAAGGCCAGGACGAATGAAACCAAACTACAGGAAAGGGGACTACACAGGAATGAGGAACTTCCTGAATGAGGTTCAGTGGGACAGAGAACTGCAGGGAAACCAGTTAATGAGATGATGGAATATGTAGTCACAAAGTGCAAGGAGGCTGAGGAGAGGTTTGTACCCAAGGGTAACAGGAATAATGAAAAAGCCAGGATGAGCCCATGGTTCACTCAAAGATGCAAGGAGGCAAAAACCAAGTGTGCTAGGGAATGGAAGAAATATAGAAGGCAAAGGACCCAGGAGAATAAGGAGAGCAGTCGTAGAGCCAGAAACGAATATGCACAATAAAAAGGGGAAAGGCCCAACGTCAATATGAAAACGACATAGCAGCAAAAGCCAAATCTGACCCGAAGCTGTTATACAGCCACATCAGGAAGAAAACAACCGTCAAAGATCAGGTAATCAGGCTAAGGAAGGAAGGAGGAGAGACAACAAGAAATGACAGTGAAGTATGTGAGGAACTCAACAAGAGATTCAAAGAAGTGTTCACAGAGGA